CCTTTATATTCTGTCTCCTGTACTCAGTGTTTGTCAGATCTCAACCTTTCCTCTGTGTATGTCCCTTGGGCTTGCATTAGAAAAAATGCTTTTATCCAACTGAAAACATTCTTAGAATTAAATGACATTTTTGAAAAATTCCATTCGGTTTTCACATGGAGACACAGTACTGAGACTGCACTGTTAAAAATGCATAATGACATTACTATGTCTRTTGATAGTAAGTGTCCTGTTGTTCTGGTCCTGCTAGACCTTAGAGCAGCCTTCGATATGATGGACCATTCCGTCCTTCTGACTCTTTTAAAACACTTTGTTGGTATCTGAGACACTGCACTGAAGTTGCTTACTTCTTATGTGACAGATTATCTGTCACCATCAATAGTTTATCCTCCTCCAGTGCTACTCTTTTGTTTGGGGTGCCACAAGGTTCCACCCTTGGCCCCTTCTCCTTTCTCTTTATATGCTGCCACAAGGAGAAGTTATGTCTGAGCACAAAGTGTCCTTCCACTGTACGCAGATGGTTTACAAATTYACTTGTCTCTTAAACCAGGCATGACTAACACAGTTGTCTCTTTTTTGGATTGCATTACGGCTGTTACACAGTGGCTAGATAAAAAMCTTTTGTTTTTAAATCATAAAAAGACTGAAAGTATTTTATTCGATGACTTTGACACTACAGATGTCAATGCCCTGCCTTTTAAACTAAATGCAACTATCAGAAACCTAGAGGTAATACTTGATCAGAAGCTTAAAAAATTTAATAAACAAATTGACTCTGTAGTCAAATCTAGCTTTTATCATCTAGGTCTACTGACCAAAGTTAATTCTTTCTAAATCTCACTGACTTAGAGAAGGCCATTCATACATTTGTTAGCTCTAGACTCGATTGTTGTAATGGACTGTATTTTGGCATCCCTGTCTTCCCTGAGATGACTTCAACTTGTCCAGAACACAACAAACCATCTTTTAACCAACACTTCTAGTCATGAGCATATCACCCGTTTTATCCTCTTTACATTGGCTTCCTGTCTATTTTAGAATTGATTTTAAAATTTTATTGATCATTTTTAAAGCTCTTAATGGCACTGGTCCATCATATTCGTACGAAATTTTAACCCAACTGCATACGGGAGATCCCTGAGGAAATCAAAGACTGCTTTCCTAGTTTTGTAGAGCTTAGTTACATTTATGACCCCCCCACTATTAGACAGGTGGGACTAACAGTCCTCAAACAATCATTGTCCTGCACTGCCCTGCGGATGCAAATGCGGTGTAAATGCTCTCATTGATTATATTGGACGTGTTTTTACTGCGGAGGTCAGAGTGGAGTGGACACATTGTAAATTGGGGGTTAGCTATTTCCTTGCTCAAACATGCCTGATTAAAATTGTTGGCATATTTCTTAAGTATCACCTAAAGTTCTGCAAAATCCTTTTCATGACTCATTTATTTAAATTAGGTGTGTTGCAACAGAAAARCTTTTTACACACGCTGGATAGTGGCCACCTTATACTTGAGTTGAACACTACTGACAAATGTATGAATTTGTCATGTCAGACATCTGATCTGTATTTGTGCAACACTTTTAGTAACAAGAGTGCAGATGCTCAACATTGTGTCACTGGTTAAATGCCTATTGCATGGAAACAGACAAAAGTTAAGACAGTCTTCCTTGCCTCCGTTGGGTCCCCTGCAGTGGAAGTTGTTGGAGTCCATTGGAAAGTCAGGATTGGATTCTGTGATAGAATTAAAAATTCAGAATAGATCAGACTTTTAATCAACTGGTTCAATAATTTGTGATCAATATGTARTGGAGTTCAAGTGAGACTTTATATATATAAACTTAGCACCAATATAAGGTAATTTGTGTTTGGTTTATTTCTTTGTTGTGACAATGCTTCTTGGCAATAAATCKAACWTTGGAAAGACTGTTAATTTCCCTTTCTAACTTTTATAAGAAACATGTATTTGTGGGGTGAGCAGTAGAGCTCATGTTTTTCATGTTGCACACAAAAAAATTGGCCAAATCTTCTTTTCCTTTGCCAAACAGCTTATTTTACTGTTGCTTCTGACCCAGGTGCTGGTGATGCTGCATTGGTTAGTAAGCGTCTGCTTCAAGAATGGGAATGCCATGTTTGACTGATCCGGATAGGTCAACTTCAAGCTGGTGTCCCACAAAACCATGCATTCTTTGGAGTGAGCMSTAGTACCATCTCCAAATTGAAGGCCAAGTTCCATATAATGGAGGATATTAGAGACAAGCCACAAAGTGGGCATCCCAAGAAGATAACACCTCAAGTCACTTGTTTCCTCACCCGGTCAGCACTTGGGTGTCATGGGCTGTGTTTTACAAATTTTGCCGTCAAGGCTTGCAGGACAATATGTCTCTCTGCCCAGACAATCCAGGATAGAACAGACTGCACGCAGCCAATCTCTGGTCTCATCAGGCAACCAGGAGGCTTGCCATGACTGCACTTCACTGTCAGGTACATTGTACATTTCAGGACATCATCAGTTCTCAGAAAAAATATATCAATTCTAATTTGTCAGAAAAAATTCATTTTTCAGAAAACGTATTTTTCAGAAAATACATCATCAGTTCTCAGTTTCAGTTTTCAGAAAAGATCTCAGCTTAAAGTGTTTCTGAAATAACTCTTGTGCAAGCAAACCTGTTGTCAGTATTTTTTTTAATTCTTACATATATTTTTGGCGCCTTCAGGCACCAGCAGGATTGGTTTGCACATACATCATCAAAATGTGACTATTGCAGAACAGTCCTGATGTCATCAAATTGTTGTACACCACCACACACTTCAGGCAGCTAACAACAACACGGTACGGTGAGTTTAAATGGTCCCTTTTCTCTGTACTTTTTATGACAGTAAAATGTAAGTCCTGAAATTCACACAACAATCTGTAAAAGAAGGAAGGCTATAGACCAGGGGTGTCAAACTCCTGTCCTCGAGGGCCGCTATCCTGCATGTTTTAGAGGTTTTCCAGCTCCAA